CTCCGTCCCCACCGTCCCCACCGTCCCCACCGTCCCCATCCGTCCCCACCGTCCCCACCGTCCCCACCGTCCCTGTCGTCCCCTACCGTCCTGGGCTCTTGGCAGTCCCTCCGTCGGGCCCTACGGGGGCCCCAGAAGGTTAGGAACAGTAATTGTTATTAGTACTCGTGGTCCCTTGGTTGTTTTTTGACATCAATGGACTCGTAATAGCAAAGAAATGTATGGAGGAGGGTACCTATGTAAAGACCCATCTTCTCACACATTTCTCGTAAACCTCCATACCACCAATCCACCTCCTCTTTCCCAAAAATGATGTCCAGAATCCTAGGTTTGTCAGTTCATTTCAGAGGTTTTTAGCATCAAGGTTACTAACCTATACTTATTGCTGGTTTCAGCCAGCCTCGCCAGACACGCCATCCCAACCGCGAGCGTTACTGCAGCAATTATTCCAACGACTATGGCTATTGCCAATAGGAGGCTCCTTCGCTGCGCCAACCGTAATGAGAAATGAGCTCTCAAAAGCAAACTCCATGAGACAACGGCAGGACCTGTACGGTCTATATAAAGAAGCCACCACCACCACTACTATCACCACTGCCACAAGGAGCCCTATCGGAGGTGGGCCAGAGACCCCGGCGGGGAAATGTGGCAGAGCGGAAGGGGGTACAGAAGAGGCCAGAGGTGGGGAAAAAGCCAAGGAGAGGGGGCGGGTTGCTGGTAGAAAGGATGGAGGAGTAGTGGGGGGGGGGGGCATAGAGTGTGAGCAGCTATGAGAGTGGGTGGGGTGGAGAGGGGGGGTCGCGTTTGGGAACCCCCGGGTCCGGGCCTGGATATTTCTCGGAGGAGGCTGAAGAGTGGGTGGATCGCCCGTCGGAAGGGTGGGGGTTTGGAGGGGACATAGGGTGGGGGTTTGTTTCTCCAAATAATAATTATTACAATTAAATTTTCTTATGGTGCCTTGTTGTTTTTGGTCCACATAGACTACCCGTTCTCCTGCATTAGAGTGACGACGCCCTGGTGCATAAATTGAAGTTAGAAGTTAGAAGTCCGAAGCCATGGCAGCCATGCCCGAGGCAACGCCTGGGAGGAGCAAGGAGTACATGGTGACACAAACTTCTTACTTTGAGAGTGTTTTCTTCCCTCTAGAATTTTAGTCAAGAGTTCTGACTTCCAACTTCCAACTTTCCTTCTTAGGTGGGGCACCGTCAGTCTAGTATCCATCGATAAGAAGCGCTGAAGCAAATTGCCATGTACCGTACGGCGTAGTACAATACACTCATAGCAAGAAAGTTACTGGACAATTGCCGAATTAGATCTGCAGAAGGTTGTGTTATAGTTGCAATGGCATTATTACCTTATTGTAACCTGAACATTCTCCCCCTGTACTGTAGTCAATACTACCTACAGTACCATGTGACTGAAAATACCTATCAGAAAGGGTAACGGAAAGAGATATGAAAGTAACAGAAGAGTTTTCCATGTGATTGAGCTGCATCAGCGGAGCTACTCCCATCGTCAGATTCAGCAACAAATTGGCCACGGAAGATTAAGGGTGACATTTTTAAACTTGTATCATAGTAAAAGATTATTCCGCCACTATACGGTAACTTTCTTATACCGAGCTCACAAGTGGTAGAGATACAGGCCCTAAGACATCGCTTTTATTTGCATAGGAAAACGTTGCAATAGTCTACGATACCCCCTTGCTGTTTGGTGTTTTTACTTCTCTTCTGATCACCCATGAGCTTACTTGGCAACTTTTTGTACGAAAAACATCTTGTCCGGTGCTTGTAAATCTCTTAAAGTTATCAGCTCCTCGAGTTCTGTAAAAATTCTTGGAATCCACTATCTCTGTATTCAGAGAGAAAACTCCCTGAGAAGGATTATTGTTTTCTTGATATAGTAAGGGTCAGCCTACTGGATGTATTGGATCACATTAGCTGGTATTCACGATTCTGTTAACATGTGAAACTAAACCTATTATGGGATGACAGGCTGATGGAGACAGTGGATTCCAAGAGTTTTTACAGTGTCTCCGGTTGCCCTCCAATCATCCTAACCACGAAAAATTCAGATTTTCCCTCCACCACCCACTGAATACACCATGCTAAAGAAAGCTCTCGGTTTGTTTGTCAACTCCTACAGTTTTGAAACGTCCCGTTTACTGACTACCTATTATATATTTTTCAGCTTCTATTTCCAAGCATCGGGACCCCCTTATGATCATTACGGCAGGTTTCGTAAGTCACGATATGAGGATCATGTGCGAGAGACAAACCAGTCCCTATGCTGTGCCAGGATCAAAGAATTGTCCCACCACCAAGCAACTCCTTCGTGAGGAGCAATGTACAGAGATGGAAATACAGACCGATGGCTACGCCTCGCCCTGTACTATGAATGTGATCCCATTCCTTGGTGGAAGCACCGAGCAAGCCCTTTACAAGATGCAACGTCCAGGAAAGGAGATGCCGAGTGAGGATCACGTCCTTCCCCATACCACAAACATGATCACTTCACTTTGTGGAAGCGGGTAGCCTTTGCAAGTAAGACTTACAGACTGTGAAACACTCTACCATTTTCGGGCATGGTCGGAATGCCGGTTATTGCAGTTGAGGTAGCTGTGGTGGTTGCAGTGGTTGCGGTATTGGTGTTTTTTTGTTTTTTTAATGGTTTTCAGAATGATAGAATTAGTCAGAGTGGATATTTATGGTTTGGGTCTGCCATGGGAAGGCTTTACTACAATGGTGGTAACTTAAAAAAAGTTCCTGAATATGACACTTGCAGTGGGGTTGGAGTGGCAGCGTTGTTTACAAAAATTCGGTAGAGTATTCACTAACATGTCGAGACAGTTTTTCATCAAACACAAGGACTTGTCCGGTACTAATCAAAACTTCACTGTTCTGATACGGTACCGGTACTATGATACCATAACATACGTAATTCCCCATAAAATAAGCACTTTTCGTATTATGACCTTGAGATGATAACAAAACCTCTAGAGTAGAATGTTGTGTGAAAAAAGCTTTTCAAGCTAAAGTCCCTCCACCCTCGATACCTCGATAATTCTAGTCATCTCGAACAAAAAAGCAGCCTATGGTCTGAAGTGGGCAGCCAACGCCGGCATCCCATCAACATACTACAACCCTATTGCCTGCAAAAGTAAAAGTTCCAACAATTCTCAACAAGCCTGAGAAGCTTACGATGCCGACCTTGCAAAGCTGATCCAGGCCCAGACCTCTGATTTGGTGGTCTATGCTCGTTGGATGCACATTCTTTCCCCCACAGACCTCGAACCCCGGGAGGAGGCTGGTGTCAACATCATAAACCTCTACCCTGCCTTATCGGGACAATTTGATAGCGCAAACGTAATCGAGCGCGACTACGAAGCGTTTCAGAGGGAAGTCACGAAGACTAGTATCATGATTTACTATATTATTGCTGCCATGGATAAGGTAACGCCGATCATCATGAGCAGGGTTCGCAAGCGGCCAGTCCGGCCAGGTTTGAGGCCCAGGGCGGCTGGCCTGGGCGTCTTTGGTGACCGGCCGGGCCGGACTGTAGGCCATAGTCCGGCTTTACTGGCCTATCTGACCGGGCCTGGCCGGACTGTAGATATCTGCAGGCTTTTAGATATCTGCGGGCATCTTCAGATATCTGTGGGTATCTTCAGGTATCTACGGGTATCTTCAGATATCTGCGGGCATCTTCAGATATCTGTGGGTATCTTCAGATATTTACCAGTGTCTTCAGATAAGTATTAGTTTTTAACCACAAGGTTTACAGGTAGCACATTTGAACAATTGAATTTGTTTCTGAATTGAAAAAGAATCACGCACTAGGAGTAAAAATAGTATTTAAGCAAGGAATAGATTCAAACAACAAAGATAGAGATAACAGAAAAGAGCAATAACCAGCTCACACAAATCCCAAAACCACCACTCGCATACTAATACTACCTATTTCCTACTGGCCTACTGGTACAGACCCTGTACATTTTTTAAAATCAGTACGTACTAAGAAAAACAATATTATCTTTTACTCGGCTATCACCCTCATGTTCTAATCTCCCACTATTACTTGTAGTTAGTAAATATTTTCAGTAGTAGTAGAAGTATTGGTTAAGGAGTATACCTGAACATCAAAAAGAATCACTCAAATCCACTTATTACTGAGCCACTTGTAGAACTTGGATAGCTACTCAGAGCTCATTGTATCTGATCTCACTCCTCAAGATCTTTCATTATCAGCTCAACCCCTTCAAGCTCACCCTCAACTAATAAGCTGGCCTTTTGCTAGGATTTGAGACACTCAATTGCTTCAATAACCTCATCAGCGAGACAGTTGCGCCGATCTGTTATCAGCATTTTGCCACTAATTAGAAATTGTATTATTAGTAGTTATAATGAGTGGGTAGAAGATAAAAAATGTGACTCAATACCTGCTAAAAAGGCACACAACCTCTGCTGACATCGCAGTAATGCTGTGGATATCTAGTGTCATATGAGCAAGTTATGACTACCAGGAATTCGAAAGTTGATCTGCCCAGTATTAAAGAATGTCTGGTACCTCTTCCTCCTCTTCTGTCTTTTGGAATCTGTCAAACTGATCCCCCTCCACTGTATTCAATCACACATACTTTTTTTGCTTCTATTGCGAAACAACTACAGTATCATCTATTGAGCTTTGGATAGTTATTGGTATACAAGTAGGTGGAGTCTCCTTCTGCAAAATATCAGTATGGCTAATTGTCTGGTACCGACCTTTCCAGAGCCCACGTGCCAATCTCTCTGCATTGGCTATCCACTCTGGATGGTCCTTCCATTCAATTTGGAGGTACTGCAATTTTGTTTCAGGATCTAGAGCAACCGCAGTATATATTGCCAGTAGCCTATCTGTGAGAGCAGAATATCTGTATAGTAAATATCAGCCTATGGTTTCGTTAATACTACTTTAGCTCAATAATAATGTTAAGAATCCTACCGGGCACTGAGGTGCGACAGGTAATAATTCTTAATTCGTAGCGAGGTAATAGTTCTTAGACTAATACTTACGCAATATGGATAGTTAAGTCCTTTTGACTTCTATCTTATCGTGCCTATTTCCTCTAATCTTGTTTAAGTCCTCGTTTAGGACTTAATCGTGCGTCATGGGAGGAGAAATAGTTTTCTCGCTTGGGGAGGAAAGACAATTCTCGGGTTTCTTAAAATAAATCTTAAACAGCGTAAAGGTAGGTTTTATTGTAATAAATTAAAGGTAGGAAATAAACAAGAAGAACGTGTGAAGAGCTAATACTCAGGGTCCTAGTGACCCTTTATATAGTAGCTCTTCACCTGGTGTGACTCATACTTCGCATCATGCGAACCCTGTGACTCATAACCATGAATCATATGAAATCCATCAGCCCACTTCTATGAGTCGCTGCGTAATATACCTAAAACCAATCAAAACATAATAACCCAGTCAAGTGCGCAACTTGCGTCACCTGAGTAAAACCCATGACTCATACATTGAGTCATGTGCGAAAGTCATAACATCGTGTGACTCACAATTGTGAGTGACAAACAGGTAAACATAATAATCTATGGCGCACTAGTGTGTGTCATGTGAAATCCCAACATACCTATAGCTCAATATTCCGAGCTATATAAAATCTGCCTTGCTTAGTCACAGTTTGTGACAATTAAATAGGAATTTAATACTTATCCAATATTGTCCAGGCTTAATAAATTGAAGAGGGTAGATGCGGGCTATATTGAGAAGCATCAGAGTACTAATTCTTACAATCTTCAAGATGAGATAAAAGTTCATCCATAGTTGGCGGTCACAAACTGTGACTAAACAAGGCAGATTTCACATAGTTCAAGATTCTGAGCTATAGGTATGTTGGGATTTTACATGACACATACTAGTGCATCATAGGTTATTATGGCTACCTGTTTGTGACTCATAGTTGTGAGTCATACAATATTATGATTTTCACACATGACTCAATTTATGAGTCATGGGTTTTACTCAGGTGACGCAAGTTACGCACCTGACTTGGTTATTATGTTTTGATTGGTTTTAGGTACTTTGTACAGTGACTCATAGGAGTTAGCTGATGAATTTCGCATGACTCATAGTTATGAGTCACAGGTTTTGCGTGATGTGAGGTATGAGACACACCAGGTGAAGAGTGACTATATAAAGAGTCACTAGGACCCCAAGTATGAGCTCTTCACATGTTCTTCTTGTTTATTTCCTACTGTCACAAACTGTGACTAAGCAAGGCAGATTTCACATAGCTCGGATTTCCGAGTTATAGGTATGTTGGGATTTTACATGATACACACTAGCGTGCCATAGGTTATTATGTTTACCTGTTCATGACTCACAGTTGTGAGTCACAGGAGGTTATGATTTTCGCACATGACTCATACTTACGAGTCATGGGTTTCACTCAGGTGACGCGAGTTGCGCACCTGATTTGGTTATTATGTTTTGATTGGTTTAGGTATGTTATGCAGCTACTCATAGGAGTCGTCTGATGGATTTTATATGACTCAGGGATATGAGTCACAGGGTTCGCGTGACATGAGGTGTGAGTCACGCCAGGGGAAGAGCGACTATATAAAGAGTCACTAGGACCCTGAGTATGAGCTCTTCATACGTTCTTCTTGTTTATTTCCTACCTTTAAGTTATTATCAATAAAACCTACCTTTACGCTCTTTAAGATTTATCTTAAGAAACCCGAGAAGTGTCTTTCCTCTCATGAGAAGAGATTAAGTCCTAAGCAAGGACTAAGGAGAAGAACAAGAAGATAGGCACGAACACGATAGTAGTCAAAGGACTGGACTATCGGGATCGCGTAGGCACAGGCCTGAGAGCTATCACCTTATAGAGAAGTATTGTTACCTGTCGCTAGGTCCTACTCGGTAGGATTGTTAACAATAGAACGTGTCTATAACACGACACTTAACGATTACACCACGGATTCTTTCAACAGAGATCACGAAGGAGACATAGACGTCCAAGATGACAGTCTAGGACTAGGAGGGTTGGAAGAAGTACTTAGCGAAGCAAGCCGACACTCAGCAAGATCAACAAGTCCTGTCACCCCAGAACCAATCACTCCACCCATACCAGAAGAAACTCCAGACACACCAAGACCAGAAAGAATGTCAGGACCAGCACCGCTACCAGGACCGCCACCAGCGGGACCAGCCATGTTCACTCATGAAGAAGTGCAACAGATGATACGAGAAGAATTCCGAAACAAGGATCAGAAACCAAAAGTCAAAACACCACCAAGATACGATGGAGAAAGAAGTAAATTACAAGGATTTATGGTCCAACTCCTCACATACTTCAATGCAGTAGGATGGAACCAAGAACACGATGACGACAAGATACGTTACACCTTGACACTACTCAAAGGAGCAGCCCTACTGTGGGTTACTTCTATAGTGCTCAGTCAGACACCAGTACCCTGGACCACGTGGGATAGTTCCAAGACTATATTCGAAGCCCAGTTTATGAATATGGAACTGAGCCAATCAGCACGGAACAAATTGGAAGATATCAGACAAGGGACAAAGAATGTCACCGATTACTGGTACGAGTTCAGACTTCTCCAGTATGATGCCGAATGCGACGAAGCAACAGCAATGAGGTGGTTCATGAAAGGTCTAAAGAGGACCTATCAAGAAGCATGGAGATATAGGAAGAAAAGATTCACAACTACGGAAGCCATGGCCAACTGGGCCATTCGAAAGGAAATTCAATTTGGGCAACTAGACTGGATACAAAAG